CCCGTGGGCAAAAATTGACATGGGAAATCCTTTGATCTCCCTTGCCAGCCCATGCAGAGCCAGCCTTGCTTCATTCCAGCCGAGGGAAGGAGGACACAGGAGGCTGTACGTTCCTCCTCTGGGCAGTCAGTTTGGACCATTGCTGTGGGTTAACACAGAAGTGCTCCAAGGACCTTATGAAAGGAGTGAATTACGGCTGCAGCCCGGAGGAAGTGCAGGTTAGAGTCACTTTCCACACCCGGACCACCAGGGCTTGCAATGTCCCCCACTCCCTGGACAAATGTAAGAATAAGGGAAGGAGGACATAAAACGTTTTTCTTTAAATAAAAATAATTTTACAAAAATATACATTTGCTTGCATCTCATCCCCACACACACAATATACACACTGCACCCCTCAAACAGACTGCATCATACACACACACACACACACACTACATCCCATATACACACTCTGGACTCCCTCTACACAGATCACCTTTAAATGCATACTTCACCACCTACACACACACTACTTTCCTGACATACACACTACATCACCTACACACACTCTGGATCCCCTATGCACACACTAGATCCCCTTTATGCAGAAACAAACACATTTACATTTCCTAAACAAACACTCTCAAAAGACCCTACACACACTACAACAAACATACAGTACATAATCTATATACACACTCCCTGCATCCCCTATACACACACTATGGCCACATACACACTTTCTACCACCCCTAGCTACACATAACACAGCTGAAAATGAAACTTAAAAACACCACAATCAGCTAACTCTACCCACACGCAATCCCAAAAGCAGCCTACAAACATGTGTTCAGTACTATTTTCTAGCCTTTTTGTCCTCTGGAATTCTACTTATGGAGACACCAGAGATGAATCACAAGCAAAGGCAGCGCAAGCATTTCATTAAATTAGCTTGAGTGCATCTGGTAGGGCTTTGTACCTAGTCTGCCCTGGAAGAGCATTGAACCCCCAAGCTCACTTTGAGGTTGTGCCTGCTTGTCATTGATGATGACATACCCCTCCCCTGCCCCCCACCCTCCTGGCCCTGCCCCATTACTACTGGGCTGCTGTGATTAAAATGTGCCTGGACCAAATTTTTTTTCCCAGTCTGGCCCTTTGTGTATCTCTCTGTCTCTCTCCATTGCTCTCTGTCATCCGCTCAACTTTTAAGTCTCTCTTTCGTTCTTTCTTTCTGTATGTGTACATCCCTCCCAGACATTTGCCCATACAGTCACAGTCAGCCAGCCCTCACACTCATATTCATAGACGGCCCCACCCTAAGACCATATTAAAGCAGGTCTGTCATTCACCTAATCCAATATGAGTATGACAGGTAGAAGTACACTATAGAATTAGGAATGCATGTTTGTATTACTAACATTACAGTGTTCCTTCAAACTACTATCTGATAGACAGTCCAACACTGGTAGTTTGGAAAGTTCAACTCATCTTGTCCTGGGCCGGTTGCTGGGTAAATATTTTTGCATTGTTTTTTTGCTGTACCTTGTTGGAACACAACAGCAAATACAATAGCTGCAATCCAAGTTCAGCGGAACACTGCAGCTCAACAGAAATTATCCATTTCTGGAAAAACAGCATAGCAGAATGAGCACCATAACAACAGTCTCTCCAAACACTGGTCATGAAAGAGTTAATCTCTCGGGTGCTGATTTTACTAATTCGTTTATACATTTTGGAGGTTTTCATGTTTCTTTTTATGTGTTACAAAGCTGACAGAGAGGAGGTATTTCAATTAAATTGTGACCTTTACTGCGGTTTCATAAAATCCAGTATTACATGATCTATACAGTGGATAAGAACAGCCCAACATGTTTGATATGCTTATTCCACGCGTTACCTGCTTACTCCCATCATGTTACCTGGTCTAACTCCCAGTTGCATACTGAATGTCCAATCACAAATGGCTGTAGATGAAACCTAATTAAAAT